CCTGGTGACACCGTCCGGGGGGGATCCTGCCATGCAGGGCCGCGCGGTTGGGGGCTTTGATCAAGGGTCGGACAGGGCGAGAAGATATGCGCGCGAGCTGAGGCTGCTGGGATGTGAGGTAAGGTAAGCAGACCAGAGTTGTGGGATGGAGGGGGATACACGGCTCTGGGAGAGGAGGTGTGATGCGCGTGAGAGGAACCAGTAGCGTAGTCTAGGCATCCGGTAGGATCTGCGGAGGTTCAAAGAGCTAGAGTCACAAACCGCGGTGTCCGTGGGACCAAGGCGGCTCCTCCTCGCCTCCACTGTCCCAGTAGAGGAGAGAGGAAACGAAGATGCACGCCAAGACCCTGTCATTGCTTTTCGTTTTTTTTGCCATGCGGCCATGCGCCTGCTCGGGACCGAAGCTGTCTGTTCCTCCCCATGTCCCTCATGCCGTGTTCATCAGCACCACTTCGTACGGCATTTGAGTGAGACTAGCGGAGTAAGGCAACGGTAGTCGAAGGGGGTGTGTAAGGGCGTGCGCGGAAAGCGATGCAGAGAGAGAAGAGGCGGTCATGTCGTTTTCCACGGAATATAAAGACAAGTCGTTGGAGCTTCAGTTCGTCCATTGTTTGAAAGTTGTTTTGAACCATCACATCGGAATTGCATCTCATCTTCCTTCTTCCGTCGCAACATAAAACATCAGCCAAACTCATTTACACGCATTTACATCTATCTGCAGGCGCAGGGGATTTTCTCTTCATCGAACTTTTCACAACAACAAGAAAACACATATCAAATCAACCAAAATGAAGGCTGCTTTCGTTGCTGCTGCTTTGGCTCAGGGCGCCGCCGCTGTCGCCAACCCCATTGGACCCGGAAACGGTGGCTTTGGACCCGGTAACGGCGCCGGCTGGGGTGGATTCGCCTACGGTGGTGGATTCGGCGGGTTCGGCCCCGGCGGATTCGGTAACGGTGTTGCCTCATGCGCTGTAAGTCTAAGCTTTATCACACTTCCCTCCCGTTCATCCCAGCCCTTCGGTCCCAACTTCTCCCTCAGACCTACCGTCTCAATTCTCTTGAACTCTATATACTCCGAATGCGTTTTGCTAACACACTTTTACCAGAGCTCCTGCTTCTCATCCCACTTCGCCACGGCAACCCCCACCCCGGCCGCCTTCTGCACCGACGCCCCGCAGCTCAACGACTGCGTAAAGTCCGCCTGCACCTCGGACGCCGCCGCCCTCTCCACCTACACCTCCGTCTCCTCCTCCGTCTGCAACGCCTTCACCTCGTGCGCCAGCACCAGCACCTTCACCTACAGCGGCGGCTGGTGGGGCTCCAAGACGGGCGACGCCGCCGCCGTCACCATCACCGGCTGCCCCGTCGACGGCTGGTGGGGTCCCGGCGGCGCCTGGGGTGGCATGGGCCCCGGCTGGGCCTACAAGACCGACACCGTCACCCTCACCCGCACCGTCAACGGCGTCGCCACCACCGGCCCCGCCACCGTCGCCCAGGCCGTGTCTGGCAGCAGCACGCTGCTCACGACCTTCACTGGCGCGTTCGCCGCCCAGGCGACGAGCGGGTCTGGCTCTGGCTCGACTAATGCTGCTGCTCCTGCTGATGCCAACCGCGGCGTCTTGGCTGCTGGCGCTGCCTTGGGCGCCTTCGTTGCTGCTGTCGGTTTGATGTAAAGGAATTTTGCATCGAGTCTTGTCACGGACAACGATTCCTTTGTACCTTGTATACCATATCCCCCTTCCCTTTTGTTGTGTTTTTACAACCGGGATCTGCAAAAAGATGAATCGGAGAAAATAAGGGGCATAGGGCAAGGTTTTCATTCTTACTTCATTCCTTAATGACCAGGAGTTAATTTTGGGGGAGAATTGTTAATAAGGCTGGACACCTTTTGTAACGTATTTGACGATGGCATGTCTCTTGATGATGGGAGATGATTACAGTCCTTACTTAGTACGCAGTATAGTCACGGCCGGGTACGGTGATGCGAATTACATTGTTCACTACATCCGTCTATCTCCCCATTACTCGCTCTTCACTTGCAAATAAAAATTGAGACTAGGATTCGGAGCAGGAACCTCATCGAGGTATGTAGGTATTCAATTTTCATTTGCGCTTTACCAAAGGCTTAAACTCAATGAAATTTAGAAAATCAAATCATGTGTTCTCACTGCTAGCTCTCTAGACATCAGGTCTCATCTGATGAATCCTCCCTGTACCCGGGCAACCTGGCGAAGGTGACGCCAACCCCAAGTTTCGGGGATAAATAACGGTGTCGCATCGAAAATGGACGCAGAGATCCCCGCCAGCGTCTTGTCACTACGTTGGGCTCGCTGACTTGTGTGGGCGGCAACCTTTCCCTATAATAGTGAACAGCATGTATCGGCTGCCGATTCTGAGTTGACAGCCAAGCCATACCGTCGGGGTTACTTTTGTCTCCCTGTGATCCAGAAAGTGTGTTCTCCGCCGCCCCAGCTTTCAATGCGCGAACGTTCTCTGTAGACTTGAAATGCTCGTCCAATTTGGCGCATATAAAACCGCCATGGACAACGGGCATGTACTGCTTGCTGCAAGCCGAGCTAGATGTGGATGCGTCAGGATCAGCTGCTTCAAGCCTCGTACGTTTTCTTGTGGTATTCTATCCGTCAAGGTGTGCAGTCGAGAATAAACAGAGCCCCCGAGAATGAAACGAATCATGCTTACCAAACATCATGACTTTTCGCATACTCCGAAGAAATAGTGCCGCCACACTCCGTGCAATTCTTCGTGGGAATGAACATTTGAATTGTCGCGCCATTTTTAGCAAATCCAGGCCAAGACTGTTCGGTGAGAAATTTTGACGGGTGTTTTGCGTCGACAACATAGTACATCCCCTTCCGGACAAGGTCCTCTCCCGGGCAGTCCTGGAACCACACTTGGATGGTCTGCTCAACGATCTAATTTAAGTACACTCAGTAAACTCTCCGGAGCTATTCGTATCATGTAAGAGCGACTTGGTATTCGGATCATTACTTACTGTCCAGGACCTCCCGCAGTCGTACGGCAGAGTCGCCCTTCTTCCTAGGGCATCAATGAGTTTGATCCCGCCCGTGGAAGGTTGAAGAAGAATGAGATTCAGTCCTTTGAAAAGTGGGAGCACAGTCTCCTGATAGCCTGTCATGATAGCCAAGGAAACTAGGCATCTGGTACTCGTCAGTTTCCAGGAAGACCAGGGGGTTTCGAAATCTTTGTAGGAGAAGGCTCCTTACACCACGGCTCTCAAAATGCTGATCAGTCCAACCGCGACTTGCTGGCCGCCCTGTAGGATTGAAGACAAAGCATCCATATCAAGGCAATCCTCGGCTATGATATCTCGGGTATTTGGTGCTGCCAATGGCCGTGATTCCGGTTGGTCTGAAGGTACTTGCCCCTGCTGCCGGTCTCGTGTCCGAATCTCGGTGCTCACAACTTCGAGATTGCACAGAATCTCGAAAGTTCGTTCAAGGCAGCCATCTAGCTTCATTCCTTGGGATTCGAAAGTCTGTAGAATGGTTCTAATTTCTGGGTTGCGGCTGTACGATTCCAATGCCGCTTTCGTGGTATGTTCCATCTGACGCTGAATATCAGATGGTAATTTGGCAAAAACAAGCCTAAGGTTTCTATTAATTCAATGGCATTGGTATAAAGGGGTTTAATGATCTATACTAACAACATCTGGTTCATTAATTTAATCTGTAGCGTTGATAACTCGGGGCCAATCTTTGCGCGCAGACTTTGGACCCTCTTCGAGGTTGACATTCCATACTGGATTTTGCGTTGTAACATTGTGGGTTTGCTGGATGTAGAGAAAGGTCCAAGTGAACCCCCATAGTCATTCTGTAAGGCCTTCAGAAACATATCAATCTCTTTTCGCAGACGTTCAACGTGGTCGCTGATATCTTGCAGAAGCTCTGGGTGTGGAGAGGTAATCTGGATGCTGTCGAGAGTGCGGAGTGTAGTCGACAACTCGTCAAGGAATGACGTAGCATCCTGATAGTCGGTCTTGGAGCCTCCAGAGTCTTTCAAAGCGATGCGGACTTTGTTAAGCAGTTGGAGAGCTGCGACAATGTCTCCGGCAGACCAGCCGAAAGACATTTGGGCGGCGAGCTCTGAACACGGTCCAGACACTCAACAACACTGGTTTTCTCGGCCAAAAAGACAGGTATTTTGGAAGCAAAGTAAATGTAGATGAGATGACGAGAAGAAAAATGCAATGCAAGAAATGGGCGGCGGTTTGTATAAAAGGGCCATTGCAGTGGCAAATCACGAGTAGCCGGCCACCCTCCAAGATTACCTCTCGTCGAATGGGAGCGCGCGTCAGGCTTTCTTGAAGGCTTTTCACAAGTCGTTTTGGTCGTTTTGGGGCGCCTGCGCAGGTACTCGTTGGCAGATAGCGAAACCTGAAAGAGTGCCTTAAAGATGTCGAATCACAGTCACAGACCCTGCGCCACTCATCAACCGCTGAAACCAGGCTGCATCCCCCCTTGCCCAGAGTCGCATCGTTGATATGACTGGTTCATTCTCTCGATTTTGGAGAGTAACCCCTAAAGCCTCGAACGTTAAGTTTCTTCTTCATCCTAAAGAGTGCCCTTGAGAGAGTTTACATGTGAAACGTAGCTTTGAGCAGAGGAGCAATGAACTCGCCCAGCTCTCTAGATCCTAGGAGACGATTTGAGGCCACCGCCATGAGAGATAGGACTTGTACCAGTCAGGTCGCTCTGCTACAAGGCAATAACGTTCCATCAATTTTCATAGTAGGGCAAGGAACATTACGGTTGGAGAGCTCGCCGCAAGAAAGAGCATCCAGAATTGAGTGTAAAGAGTGGTCCATCGCCAACTTTTGTTCAAACAACTACTTCTACATGAAAACATCCTTGGCTTTCTGGAACCAGGTGTCTCTTATCTTTTTTGATGTACAGCCCCCCAGTCTCTATCAATACACCACCCAAGTACCTCAATCACGAGGATCACCACATCGCAACATCTCACTTCCGGTTCGTACCAGAAACAAGCAACACAACACTCCCCAACTGCCTCCTCAAATCCTCCTTCTCAACATCATGCGTATCCTCCACCTCGCCCCACGCCCCAGTCTGCCACGTAACCTCCAAGCTCAACGCCGTAGCAGCCTCCTCGACACCAAACTTGCCCCCCTTCCCATTCTTATCGCGATACTCCCCAACAGGGCCCTCACTCCACTCCACGACCAACCGCGCCGCCCCCAAAAGACTCTTCCCCGCCAACACGGCCCTCTCCAACCCCGTCAGCTCCCACGCGTCAAGCCCCATAACCCAACCCTGCACAACCTCCCTCACCCCCTCCGCCTGCCTCTGCGGCACGATACTATGCCCGTCCAGCACCGGCGTGATCTCGATCCCGGGCCACACCCGCCCCGTCAAGGCGCCCACGACGGCGTCCGCCGTCCTCTTCTGCACGTCGCGCAGCGATTCTCCCGCGTCGTTGCGCGTGTCCGTCGCGCCCGCGGGCGGCGCCCAGCAGAGCATCGCGTCCGTGTCGAGGTACCGCATCAGCGTGTTGGCCACGTGCGCCCGGATCGCGCCGTCGTTGGCGGCGTCGTCGGCGGCGATGTCGATGGCGCGGCAGATGAGCGAGGTCAGGGGGATCAGGTGCTGCTTCGTCGCCTGCTCGGCCGAGGTGATGAGGTCCCATTCGATGGCGAGGGCCGAGGCGAGGTGCTGCTTCGAGGGCGGGAGGCGGATGATTTCCTTGGTGTTGGGGTGGCGGAGGGGACGGGAGTCGAGGTGGACTTGGAGGGCACCTGTGTTGAACGCCAACGTTAGCCAATCTCTCCAAGGCGGTCCATCGTGACACGAGCTGTTGATCATGGGATAGAAAAAGAAGACATACCATCTACCTCCTGCACACTGACATCATTCCAAAACCTCCTCTTCAAAGCCCCCGGCGCACTCGACTTGGCCTCGGCCGACGTCCGGATCCGCTTGGCGTGCTTGAGCATCTCGGCCTGCTTCTTCCTCCTCTCGACACGGATCCGCGCCGCCGCTGCCCGGTCCTCGGCGGCGATGTCAGCAATGGGCGGTTCCGGCGGCGGTCCCGTGCCGACCACGGGCGCGACCTCGGCGGGCTTGAGGGGCGTCGTCGAGATGGCGCGCGCATTGAAGGCAGCAGCGGCGCAGGTCGACCGTCTGGCTGACGAAGCCAATGGCGACGACGTCGCTGTAAAAAGGCGCAGCGGGATGCGTGTTGACGGCTTCATTGTGATGGTACGCCCTTTCGTGGTTGTAGATATGGATTGGAGCTATGGGAGCTGCAGCTACAAAATGCAAGTTGGTCGTTGAATTAGTTTTTGGAAGCTTCGCGGCTAGCCCCGGTCGGGCATACAGGGGTATGATTGGCTTATGTCTTAGCGTGCCATCAGAATGCGGGACGGTCTCGGGAGGTGAGCTCGGTGAAGCCTCGGTGCACGAGGTTAAAATTTCAGGGTCCTTTCGAATGCTTTGGAAATTGACGAATTGTTGGATCTTTCAATAATTGTTGTTTTAACTGTCAGAACTCGGCTACGCGCCTCGCTATACTTCTACGCCAAGGTGTACCAATACAAATCTTTTCAATCCATCGCCTAATTCCATTAGTAAGGTGGCTTCGTGACGTTCCCTAAACTGAGCTCTCCAGCTCTGCTGTCAATTCCATTAAGAAGGTCGTGTAGATCCATCCCTCCTCCCGACACCGTTGACATGTTTCCATCCCCTCTCGCGGAACCCTGGTATAAACTGTCACCACCGCGGCTGCTAAGTACTCGTTTCGCCGGCTTTACTGCGTAATCCTGAATAGAAACCGAGGACGTCAGCCCACCAATGTGACCGGGCAATGGCGGCACCGGTGGAACGTCCTCGTCTTCGTTATGCTCGTACAAAGGGTTGGAATTGAGCGGCCCACCCTTGCGTGATGCCGATGAAGACCTCTGCCGTCCAAGAGAGGCTCCATCGCCGTTTTCTGGCTGAGATGTCGCCGGGTTGAAGCTGAGCTCTGACGGGGTAAAGTCGTAGCTGACCATGCTGTCGCTGTCACTGTCATGGCGTACGCCTGCTGACGTGCCAATGGGCGTCGCCGGCACCTGGCCCGTCAAGACCATCTTGAGTTGATCAATGGATGTAACTACACCTCGGCTCGAATCCGACGGTGAGGGCGAAACGCCACTTCGGACACTGGATTTTCGCAGCTTGCTCATGGGAGACAAGCCCCCGGCAACCTGGGATGAGTTTGGACGAAGGTTTCGCTGGCTGCCAAGCGGTGAAGACTCTCCCGTTTGTCCATGCCCATTAGCGCCATTAACAGTCAGGTGGTGTCGGTTGGTTCCCATAGTGCCGCTTTTCGAACCAGCTAGCGACTCTGACTTGCTTCCCGCCTGCAAGGCTAGCATAGCCGCATCTCTTGACCAGTCTGTCAGCATGTGCTCGCGGAAAGCTGTGGGCAGCTCCGAACCGGGCGTCGCGGGCGTTGTTGAAATCGAGGTGCTAAGGATGGGATGCGAAAAGTTCCGACCAGGAGATTGAGGAGGACTACTCGGCGGTGAGATACTTGTGTCCGCATAGCTCACGGCGATGCTCTCTACAAACGATGCGCGGTCATCGAATGGCAGCAACGCTTCACTCTCGACTTCTGTGGCAGGCAGCTTGGTCTGCAACTTGGGAACTCCAGGCGTTCCGAGGAGCTCCAGGGCTGGCGGAGGGATAGCCACACCCTCAGTCCAGAAATGCTTGCTGCGTCTTCGAATGACCTCATTGGTGATGGCACGTCCCACGGCAGAGTTCTCAATGTCGAACTTCTCGGTCACTGCCCAGAAATATCCGTGGCAAAGACTGCCCAGGCGAACCTTTTGAACTGGCAGCTCTGCGTCTGGAATGTCCTCCTGGAGACGGAATACCATTGGCAATCCGTACTGGACTGCGTTGACACCCAACTGGGACACAAGCTTCGTAAGCAGCACGTGAAGAAGAACAATATCCGGGTCATAGTCAACATATTGCAACGCGTTGTCGTAGATTGCAATATGGAGAAGTTGGAGAAAGTGTGAGCGGTGCCTCGATGGTTTCTCGCGGTTGGATGCGTTCGATGCGGCTCGTTGAGCAACATTGGCGGGTTGAAGCTCGCGACTGTTCTTCAGAGAAGACCGGTGGTGTTGAGAGCTTTCGTCCCGCGCCTTCCAATCCGCCGCTGTCGTCTCGCGGTCTAGCCAGGTCAGAAGCGCATCGGCGTAGGCTTTTCTGACCTCGCCATCTGGATCCCGCAGAAGCCAGTGCGTGTTCTCCCAAACTTGAAGAGGAACCTTGTTTCTCGACAAGTTCAAGTTGCCGGACATCTGTGCACGTGGGTTTGCAATGAGGAGTATGTTCTTGATGGCCTTCAAGGCAGCGGTCTTGCCAACGTTACGGGAAAGGTACGTTTCCAGCTGAGGTTGGCTGGCAGTCATCTCATCGGAGGGGGGCTGCTCAGAGGCTTCGGCTTGGGGCGACGAGCTGGTACTTGAGGATTTGGACGGCTTAAGTCGGAGAAGGATCGTCGAAATCATGTCCGAAATCTGGTCTGCGTAGTAGACATGTGTCGCCAAGTCTCCAATGCAAAGTTGAATTCGCTCGAGGAGTTCTCTTCGCTGAGCGAATACGTCGCCGGATCCTTGAAGGGTAGAGACTACTTCTTCGGGCTCTCCTTCAGTTCTCCCAAAGCCTCCTGGCAGCTGAATGAGTTTCTTCATGTGCTGGACGAGACCGAGCAAGACGTCCATGGCGCTCAGCCCAATCAGGTTGACGTCGGAACGCAGCAGAGACCCAATCATGGCCGTCAACGATAGATGGAGCTTAAGGTTGTCGTCCTTGACAGGTGCTTTCGACAGATGATCCATGGCCGTCACCAGAATGACATAGCGGTCCTGTACAGGCGCCCATCTCGCGATTGCGCTGTACATGCTTATTGCCCACCCGTGATCCTGGCCTAGCTTCTCGTCCGGCTTGACGACTGTGTTTCCATTTGCGACGCGATCCTCGATGAATTGAATAAGAGCACCAGTCGCGGAATGAATCTGTGGTCGGTTTGGCGTCACAAATATCTGCTTCAGGCACTGCATGGCGAGCACACCAACGTCCTCTTCCGCCAGCCTGTCTACATCGTGAGCAGTGCCTGTGAGAGCAATGGGGTTTGCGTCGCCGGTATCGTTGGTTTCCACAGTCGCGACGCTCGTCCTACGGCGAAGCTTCTCTGCCTGCACTTTTTCTTCCATCTGTATGCGCGACAGCAGCGTGTCGAGCAGCTCGTCGTCATCCCACCATAGGTTGTCCAAAATAACGGGAACGATAACGTCGAACTGGCGACCAGTGACAGTCGATAGAGCTTCCGAAGAGGAAACGCTCCTGATTGCTTCGAGGCCAGCGCTCCTCCACCGCATCAGTACAGGCTTGCTAGAAGCTCCTTTCCCAGGGTTTTCGCGGGTCGAGGCAAGCGAAGCGTAGGTGCGAACGATCGATTCGTACTGGGCGAGATAAGCTTGGTCTGCAAAGGAGGACGAGGCATCGTGATTTTCGCAAAACGCCTCAAAGGTAGGTATGGAGGATTCGACCATGGTGATGTCCTTGGATCCGAGGATGAGGTCGAGGATTTTGAGTACATTCGGAGCTACGAGCGGCAGGTCCTTGGGGGCCTTTTCGATCAGTGCCGTGAGGATTCGAAGGGTGACTTGCACATTTCTAGAAAAGGGCCCAGTAAGTAAGGCGATCTCTCAATACCTAGGGAGGTTCACAAACCCGATGCGCTGCCGCCAGACATCGCTTGCCGTCTTCTTCTCCAAGAAGGCGCCAATCTTCTGAATCTTGGAACGGCGGGAGGTAGCATAAAATAGCAGGTAGCTCAGTTCGCTAGAGTTCGGCTTGACATCAACAGCGCCCTTGTTGGTCCTTGGGTAACACTTGAGGACCAGCACTTGGTGCTTCGGTCGACATTTTTGCTGGATCGCGTTCATGGCGCCGGGGTTATCGGGGCCCGATGAGCGAGGAGAGTCGGAGGACTACCTGTTGGTCGGTAGTAGACGATGGCAACGAAATAGCATCGAGGTTGGAGAGAGGAAATGAAAGGCGTCGCCTCAAGTTTGGAAAATCAGTCGCCGTCTTCGTCGGTTTGGATCGCAAAAAGCAAGGAAAGAGTGAGGCATTGGACAAAGTCAAAAAAAGAAAGGGAGCAGGCGTAACGTAGAAGCCAGCGAGCAATAATTTGGGTGTGGCAGACAAGAGACCCGACAGAAACAGATTCCAGTCAAGGCCCGGCCAGGCCAAGCCAACACGGGGGGGCTTGACGGGGGGGGTAAGCGTGGACGTGCTCCGTCAGGTACCTTTACTGCGAGTGCCAGTGGAGATGGGTACCTTACCATGTGTGTACCATACCTTCAACCATGCAAATGGAGAAAGCTGGCCTGTGAGTATCTTGTACATTGCCAGGCTCGGTCATTGTGTACGTAGTAAGTTTGCCAGCCTCCCAGCTATCACTCTCAAGTTGGGCTGGCTCGAGAAGTGGTGCAACTGCAATGGGACTTATTCGTTGTGAAATGGGCCGAAATTGCTGTCTGCACCGCACCACCTTCTCACTTTATTGCCAACCTGCTGCGGACTGCATCGTCGTCATCATTTTCTACCCGACTATCCATCCGGCCCGCGCCATGTGGCCTCACCCATCCTAAGAACGATGGGTAACACTACTCGATGCCAAATCAGTTTCAGTATTCGAATAAGCCTCTGGATGAGAGGTTGTAGTCGAAAAATATTGTTCAGTAAAGTAGTTTTTGCGATAGCACAAGTCGAGATAACATCAAAATGAGCAATCTGCTGGGATAGGCAGACACACGTGGGAGAGGAAAATGCGATGAAAGATGAGATTACGAACCCAAGAGGGACAAGTTCCTGTGTAAATGGGGAGATGGCAATCTCGGGGAACCACCCCAGGTCCGACAGACTGGCTCTCAGCGGGATACGCGTTTGCTGTTTGCTTGCTGCGATTCGCAAGCGCAAGGTGGTCGGGATTCTCACCTACCCGTACGTACTCCGTACCCGTGGATGGAAGGTATTGGTACGTATACGCCGCCTGGTCTGAGCTCTCGAGTCCCCTACAGCCCTGTGGTGAAGGAGGGGCAAAAGGGGTTTGTATCGATTTCGCACAACACCATTTACATTTAGATTGAGGTTTGTACAGGGCAAAAGCTCAATGGCACCCAATACA